ATGTATTTGCTACTCATAGTAACTCCACAAAAGCTACATAATGGCGACAAAACGGTACCAGCATCATAGATACCAATAGTACAATTTCGAACATGAGATACATATAATTACTTTAAAGTTAAAACATGTATCTAAATAGTAAATTAGAAGGATTAAAATTATACACTTCCGACATTTTTCGTATTTTGTTTTCGTTTTGAGAGAGTTGTAGTGACAGTAGTGACTGGTATCTGAAGGGTGCAAACAGGTGTCGAGTCGCTGTCTCAAATTTCGTAGCTCTAAAGGTCACGGCGGCGAAACAGACCGTGAGGTAGTTTGCTTCACAGTCCCTGAACCATATTATTTTCCCTTCCGCCCAGGCCTTACTGCAATGCAATAGCCCCAAATGAAACAAGCATAGATGTTCAACAAGTTCCGGCTGAAATTCCAATCCCACTGGTACTCCTTTTAAATTTTAATATAGTTTCTCGTTTACATCCAACTGATATATTTTCAGAGACTAACCGTAAAGTACAACTATCCAAAAGATCCCATGCCTGTCTATATTTCTTCAGACAGACTCTCCATATGCATGTTCCTATCGATATATATCAAACGTTAAATCAATTAAATATTACAACACTGGTAAATAAGTTAAATGCGCATGTCAGCGTCGATCCTACAATATCCTTTAGCACAAATTACATATATACTGATGAATTAACGTAGTAATACTACGCAAATATGTCCAGATGTATGCATCAGTTTCATCTCGTGATCTTTATTCGTGCTTTTAGCTCTTTTTCTATAGGAAATTATGGGATGTTACATCACACTAGAAAGCCGGCATTTCTTCTGTATGTATTTATATATGTAAATATCGTTTAAATGTCAACACTGATGCAGTGAACGTACCACAGACGTGATGCTTGAATAACATCTCTGAATTAAACATATTTTACAGAAAAAAAACAGTTGTAAAACAATAGTTATAAAATATAATAAAAAGACGCCAAGAGACTTTCTTCATTTTGCCAAATATTGGGTTGTATATTTTTCGAGGTCTGTATGACAGACAAACCTGATGTTTTTAGGTGTAAAGATAAGTAAGTTTAGCTGTTGCATATAAATTCAAATATGTTTGTGATTAACCCAACCTTGAAAAATATTCTAAGATGAGTGGTCACTTTTTATGTCTAATCTGTTTATTCAGTACATGAGTGGTCACTTTTTATGTCATGATTTCAAATTAAAATGATAGCACAGCAGGAAAGCATGACACTTTAATATACTTATCTTGTTAACCCAATAGTTTTTTTTAAAGAAAGAGCAACATGTATATCGAGAGTATACGTTTGTTGCGTGACTTATCACACATTACTTTCAATAATGACAATAATATCATAATAATATCATCATTATTTATGTTAATTATCCTCAACTGAAGTAGTCCTCCACACTGTACATTCAAAGAAGACATCCATGAGCATATTAACTACATGTATGTGACATACATTAATGGAAATTAGATGAACAATTGAAATAAGCAAATGATATTATTCGGCCGAACGTCTATAAGCCAATACTGCATTATTGAATTGTGAGCCTACGGTGATTTGTGCAAGGCTACTCTCATACATGTCATGACGCATTTTAGGTCAGGGTTCTATACTCGCATTGATGTGCTGACGTATTATTGCGTTAATTTTAATATTTACAGTATTCATGACGAACATTTCACGTCGGACCAACCGAGGGAATTATGACTATCGTCTTGCTAATTATGTTTGATATTCATGCTAGCTCAAACGATCTATTGATTTGATTAATTGTTGGGGTATCCACAAAATAAGTAGGATCCGGATTTTTTCCCGTTTTTGTTGTTCTGTGTTTAACGCCGCACGCAGCATTATTAAGCTATATGGCGGTTGTCTGTAAATAATCGAGTCTGGACCAGACAATCCAGTGATTGATATCACGAGCATCGATCCACGAAATTGAGATACAATGACATGCATCAACCAAGTCAGCAAGCCCGACCACCCGAGACCTATTCTAACCCGGCTCTTCACAGGATTCAACTGATATTAAGATGAAATAAAACTGAATTATATTTGCTGTTTACATTTTTGCCAAATTGTTTCAAAATGTTTGGCCACAGCAAGGCTACATATTCACAACATATTGTGCTGGGCACAGTATAACCGAGGGAGGGCCGTATTCCTCCTTGTGGGTCACCTGCTTGGCAATATGGGACGGGAAACTGCAGGGGGTGAGGGCAGTTAAGTTGATGGTACAGACAGATAAGCGAGATCATTTTACAAATGTGAAACCTCATTCCACAAAGGAAGAGGCAAAAGCTGAAATTTGGTGAGATTTACAGAACAAAGGCAGTTATTTCTAGTTTCTTACTGACCCTCGAGGATACATGTAATAAAACAATAGAAAGTGTGTGTGTGTGTGTGTGTGTGTGTGTGTGTGTGTGTGTGTGTGTGTGTGTGTGGAGAAAAAGAAGAAGAATTGTACAGCATAAAAAATGGCTACGTAGTTCGGGTGGATATGCCGAATGCCCGGCCAGTATGACCTTTGAGACACGTTAAGAAGTGATACACATAAGGAAGAAAATATATGGATGTCAACGTCTTTATTATGAGGAACATATCGTTTCGGAGTATATACTTACTCATCAGGTGAATAAATGCAATGAGACAAAGAACACAGGGATCATCTTCAATTTAAAAGGAATTACTTGTTTCTTTGAAAACGATACAGTTTTAGAGGCAGCGTCAAACTCCGGCCAGTAATCTAACACGCGAGAACTGACCAATGAAATTTGAGAAGTAGAAATACCGGTAGACGCTGTTGCTTGATTGACAAAGTCAATGTCAATCAAGAAAGGGAGGAGCTTGATAATATCGCTCTCAACCTGTAAATTCAGTTGTCAAATAACGACGTTATTTGGACGGAAAAACGATGGTTTGAAAGCGTCCAAATGACGTCGTTTTTCAGTCCAGTGACCACAAACGACGTTTCGTGTTTGCAGTGTTTTAAGATCAAACATTAATTAATTGATGATAAAGTTCTTTTTATGAAATCCGTAGAAAGGACAAAGAATTTCAAGTTGATTTCAGCCTTTTTTCACAACGTACATGTATGGAAATGGCACAGGTTACATGTATTTCTGATAATTGAAATCATTCAACAAAGTTTCGTATTCAACAAGTGTTCATTTCCTATTGATTAATTCAAATCCCGACGCAATGAATGCATGTTTCTAGACGAATTTAGATACGTTTGCTAAAATGGTTTCAAATACGGTTCTTACCCTCCACTACAGTTGTTTTTGTATCTCTGACATAACCCATATGGTGGGCACCATCCTATCCAGTAGATAAGAAATAGCGTTATCTCTCACGCCGCCGTCTGACAGGTAAGGGACGGTTGCGACATTTCCCTTTTCAAGATGGTTATTCATGCACGTCATATTTAGTCATGAAGTACTTTTACTTCAACACCGTTTACGGACCAGTCATTTGTCAGCGTGGACAATGTTTTTTCATGATTAGGGTTGAAGTTAGATACTGGAGTTAAATTATTCCAAATGTTGTTTTCTTCAGACTTTTCTCTCAGGTTTAATTGCTCAATACTAAGAGCCTTTCGTATGCTATCTTCAATTAGCTTAGCGGGTAATTTTGATGCAGCAGGAAACTCTAATGTCGTGGTATACCATCAAATGGATATTACACTGAATGTAGTTTTTGCCAAGGCTTGTGACGTCTCAAATGAACAGATGTCGCAGTTAATGGAATGTAAACAAGTGCATGTGTACATATAAATCTATCAACCAACATGGCTCTACAAATAAGAACATCAGTTAATATAACACAGTTCTGTTCTCCGTATACACTGTGGTGTGGAACCAACAATTTACATTTATCCACGTTTTATAAACAAAAGCGTATTCCCAAAATTACTTTAAATACTCGGTATTATATTAATCACGTACCCATATCCTGACACGCATTCTGAGTGGCCTGCGCCGTTTAGACGCTTCGGCATGCCTTCGAGAAGGGGACGAGCGTTGTTATAGGGTACGGAAACATGCATGTGGTGCCGAATGATATATTCGTCTGATACGTAATGTTCAAGAATATTTCATTTATATAACAAGGTGCATGTCCATGTGAGTGAGGCTGCTTGTACTACTCCAATATTATTGACAACCCAACTGATATACCATGCCACAGTTTAACTTGGATAGCCCACACAGACACATTTTACTGACTCCAAGCTGGCCAGTCCCTGCCTCTTCCCCTTAATGCCGAGCGCTAGGCAGGGTAAGAGACCCGTCTTCTGATATGACGCAGTCCGGGATTGAACAGCTGTCAGGGAAGATGTTCTATCCACTTCAACACGGATGCAGCTTGTTGCACATGTGACACCCGTATTACCGGTATAGTATAAGTAAACACTTGCCTTGGGGTAGGATGTGATATGCTTATGATGAATTCAGAATTGAACATTGGAATCTGCTTTCAGCAGAGACTTCTTATGCTCATTGAAATGGTCCTGTCGCTTTTATATACGAACTTCAGTATATCAGTTCAACGACCTATACATTTAGATAACATCTGGCATCATCACTATTTGATGGTGCTTCAGGAACACATGTTCGTGATATAGTCTGAATCGTACAATCGACTCTGTAATTGGCAGAGATTTCTTATAAATAAAGCGTTTGTCGCTTTTATTTACATTTTCGTTACTACATACATTAAGTCACGGGAATTATTTATACTTACACCTCTTATACATCTATCTCATCTAATACCATTTTTTCTGTAAATATATTGTCATGTCCTTCATAGAGGCTGGATAGATTTCACGACGCACAGTCATTTTGTTTACAAGGATATTGAACTTGACATCGAATTCCAGACAAATCAAAAGATCAGGAGAGAGTTCTTAGATTCCACAAAATATTTAGTGTTGTCAGCGCACAACATGTAAGTAGTATGGTCAAAGTGTAATGGATGCTACCGGAGGGGCAGGATACGATCACCCTTTGGCGAACACCCCTTATTTGATAGTGATTCATCAAGACATGCTAATGATTCGGTTGAAATCATACAATGGACTCTGCTTCTAGTGGAGATTTCGTAAAATTATGGAACTGGCTTTTGTCGCGTTTATTTACGAAGGTCAGTTTATAAGCTCAGCGACTTATGTAGGGTTAACTTACATATTCTTAAATACGTAGGTCGGTACACGGTTTAGTGAACCATTTTTACTTTTGTAGCCTTTATCAATCCATCAAACTTAATACAAACACTTATTTATTCGTATAACATGTATATCATTTACGTTTTCATCTCTATCATACATGGTCGTAAGTTTTTCATACTCCTTGTAGATCTTTTCATCTGGACGAGCTTTGATACATATTTCCTCTCTTTTTTCAATACATTCATTAATGAAGATCTTGTATTCAGCAGATGAAACTTTGCCTTCAATTGCTGTTGCCAGGAAAGCACGGATCTTTAGCTCCAAGGCTTGCCATCCTGCGGCTGCCACGTTGTAACGTGTGCTTCTGTCTTCATAATATGACTTCAGAACTTCACTGGCGACAAGAAACACAATGCAACTCGCCAGGATACCTGCAATAACCTGTGCGACAATTGGAGCCTGCTTTATCGATGACATGATTTCTGGTAAATTGTCCTCTACTATTTTCGACAGATATTTGTGTGTCATGATCCCAACAACAGCAACGACCATCACTTTAATAACTGCAAATAATATATATAAGCATTCATTTGTACTTGAAGTTTTGTAGCACAAGATGGCTGCTCTGCGGCTTCTGACTTCAATTTCTCTTAAAAGCCTAATGCTTTCTCTGATAGCTGTTGCTTCATCTTTACATTGATCTAAATATGGTTTACTGGGTCTGAAACAAAATGAGAAATAGCAGCACTTTGTTATCTGTATCAATATAATAAAGCTATGAATACTTTGCTTTGCTGAAAGGCATTGTCCCATTTCCCCGGAGTGAAAGAGCATTATTGTACTGAATGGTTGTTGCGTTTCTTGTCATACCTTGTCCTCACCTCAGCATTTTTCTTGTAGCTTCATCTGTTGTGGAAGATTGACCATGATTACTTTTACCGGCTCTGAAACAGAAGCCACATAACCCAAAATGCTGTTATCTGTATTAGTGTCATAAACTTATTACAGAGTAAAGTGCAATTTGTATTTGAAGTTTTGTAGCACATGATTGCTGCTCTGCGGCTTCTGACTTCAATATTTCTTAAAATCATAATGCCTCTTTTCTAATAGCTGCTGATTCATCTTTACATTGACCGAAATATGCATCACCCGACCTGAAGAGAATTCAAATGCAGCAAAATATTGTTATCTGTATTAGAATCAAGAAACTATTACATGAGTTATGTGTAAGTTTAATGTTCAATATAAATGCCTGCGTATAAATCATAAGTCATAAACCACATTTTCACAGTGCGGACGAGCATTGCTGTCCTGTATGAATATAGAGTTTCCAGTAACGCATTGTCCTCACCTAATGCTTTCGCTCATCCCTGTTGCTTCATCTTTGCATTGTCTGTGACCGGTATTACCGGATCTGAAGGGAAATCAAATGTATTAAATTATTCTGAGGAGCGTGTAATGTTGCCATCATTATTGAATTAATTATATCTAGTATACTGTTTCCTTGTTTTCGTTGCGGCATATTGCATAAAAGTCTGGGATGGTGACAATGACGTGAGACCACTTTTGCTCTCTAATGAACCAGAGTGTTACTTTGTTTTGTATACAGAAATATATATATGTCATTTATATGTTATGTCGCATTGAATGAGGTGTGTCATTAAATGCTAATTAAAGTTATGTTATGTTTCCAGTGTGTGTCTTCATATATTTTTCTCTGTGTGACTAGTATCAGTACGATATTATTCATAACACTTATGTATGAGGTAACCTTATCACATTTCTTACCGTGTTCTTGGCATGTGGTTTTTCTCCTTGATCTATGACTTCACTATCAAGGTGACAGTCCTGCAAACATTAACATGTTCACATCAACGAAAATGAATGAATGGCACGTACATGTATGAACATACTGGCAAGAGGCAACCGGTAGTGTAGCTGTTTGCATGTAAACTGACGCCAGTCATTCACAATGGCATTAAATGAAAGCCAATGTGCATTTTTGTGTATATGAACACGTGACCCATCTGTTTGATAATTAGATCTATTTATAACGATTCAGATTGACAAAACATATTCACAATATTGTATGACAAGAGGGATGACTTTAATCTGCCAATATACAACTTTATGTAGAACAATATTCCAGCAGCCCGATTCTTTTATGTCTACATTTCACAACTTTTGAGGTACAATAGGACATTTCTCATGGATCCGCACCTGAGCACATCCCTATGTTGGGCGTAGTTGTATTGCGTTTGGTATGCATTCAGTGCCGATTGAACACGTCAACGCCTCGATTATCTGCCGAAACAGATTCCAAACGTTAAATAGAAAATCATATTTGAAAATCATATGAATGGATCACAAACAATCAATTTGTTTTTAAAGATACATACAGAAAATTCAATCTGGAACTATTGTGAGCAGTAGCTGCTAGAGACAATCACGCAGGGTCAAAGAACGCAGACGTGGGTCCACAAATCACTGAAAATCCGATTATCTACCACTGTTACATTTCATGCATTCAGCATGCAAATAGTGTCATAAAACTTACTACAGTTTAAAAGTAAACAGAGTATCATTAATGGTATCAACACCTAAGAACGATATGCCATTACCAATGTATGAACGTTTCATATAAAGCAGTGTAATAGTGCAAGATAAAACTTGATAAAATGATCAAATAGGTTCAACATATTCAATGAAGGCCTCATCTAAAGATGTTCAAAACCTGCTCCGACAAGAAGAAACTATTGCCATATTTGACAAAAGAGATAATGCTTCTAGATCTTTGCCAGGAAGATCTGAAACAGTATGATTTGACGGATGAGGACGAGAAGTATAGAATCATGTGCATCATCAAAGACTTATAAAAAGGAACACTTAAATTGAATGGAACTGGTCAGGAACAGGTTCAAAGTAAACATCAGGCTGCTCCTCATGCTTAGTAAAGTATCATTTCTAAGATACATTATTTTAATACACTGTTGCAAAGTCAGTTCAAGAAATACAGATATATACCCTACACTGTACAGGAAATAAGCTAGGTCTTCATTGACTTGATTCCAAAATATTATTAGTTAGAAACATGATACGTAATCAATACATGATCGCAACAACATTAAATAATCTCTCCATGACACGCTGTATTTGCCTAAAAGCCAATGTATATAAATGGCTTCCACAGTATAGGTCTTTAAGAAAACTCATATTTCACTCCCCAAAGGAGCTCGAGAAACAATGTTTTACATTTGCACTTCATCTAACAAAATAGATAAGTGTGGCCATATTTGCCTGCACAACCAAAATATTGCATTTGTGAAATGTCTGTATAAACGTGCGTATAACCGTGTGATTTAATTTACAAACATACTCATAACCCATGTAGATTAAAAAACACCAGCCTTACGTACAATGAAATGTGAGAACAATATACGATAGGCAGTCAATAGGTCGTTCAATATATTATTGATAATAAGAGCTCATATAGATCTAATGAATGAAATATACGTGTAGGGGTTAGTCAAACTATCCCAGATGAAAATTACAACAGCTTGCAAACAACTATGAACGCACAATGACCTATGCCTTAACAACATTAGACAAAACACAGTAAGTGAAGTCAACGAGCCTGGCCAACCGATGGGTTATCCACAGACCGGATGCTGGCAATCTAGAATTTCCCATAATTCCCTAGGAATTATGGTAAATGAGCGAGCATGTGTATTATTCGAGTCAGTGGAACACGTTGTTTTTTTAATATTTCGCATCCTGTTAACAGACATTCAAAAGCTTACAGTATGCCTTGATACAGATTAAAAAAACCAACAATGAAGAAAGTGTTTTTAACGTGTAAGAGTTCTGCTTTACCTGGTAGCATTCATCGTTTCCTGCCCGCCGATCCATTCGCACATGATGCAGATCGATGTCTCGGTTCAATGTAATAGCTGTATGCACACATCCAGAAATGTTACGTCGAATACTGGCATTTGCCAAGTGTGCATGTAGCATGGGAGAGAAAATTTATTGATCGCCTCCACTGACAAATACATGTAACCATGGCTACGACAAACGATTTCTCCTGGTTTAAGATTGCTAATGTGTGCAAACTATGTCATACCGACCTGGTGACTTTGTTATCACACAGTTCACCCACAACCTTTTTTTCACATACATTGTGCTATATGTATGACGACGAACCATTCGATCATCAATAACATGTCGGTGCCTTGCTGAGGTTGGTGGTTTGATATAACGGTTATTTGATTTAGTTATAAGACTGATGAAGAAAGCATTCAATTCATTAGTTAGGGGAGATGGTGGAGGGGGTAGCAGGCGGGCTGGGGATGGGTGTGTGTGTTACAGCGATGTCCACCCTCCCCCCTGTTTTCCAGAGCAGAACACCCGAACCGTTGAATATATGTTGTTGAAACTTGCTACACAGATCAGTCAAGTGGTGTACTGGTGCCTTTTAATCATTTCGGATTCTTATTGCGTGTGTGTGTGTGTGTGTGTGTGTGTGTGTGTGTGTGTGTGTGTGTGTGTGTGTGTGTGTGTGTGTGTGTGTGTGTGTGTGAACTCCAAGAGCGTTGATATATTTTAGATGAACTTTGCTGAACAGATCAATCTTGAAGTTAACTAGTGCGTTTTCATGATTTGGGCTACTGAAGTAAACTGAACAGGATTATTGTGTTCTTCAAGGACCTGGAGGTATCCAACGGCATAAGTAGCTAAATTCCATTTCGAAATTGCCCTGGATTGGGGGGTCAGGTCATCTCCTGGTGACCCTTGTTGCATACTGTACTTTGTCGCTCTAATCATTATCGCTTTTATTAACTCGCACGCCGTCTGAAGTATTCATTGTGCCAGATTACCATATTCACTTTGATGATGTTTCCAGGTTTGTCGTTTCACCAAAGTGTTAAACATCTGAGATCTTCTGGCTTTCCTCCAACATTAAGGTGACTCGTTGGTGTTATACCCAACTAACTAACTCACTATAGGTTTGTCAGCATAATACCGATGCACGTTGGATTCACCAAGGCGGTGAACTGCTAATTCCTGCATCACGTTGGAATACACGTAGGAATCCATATGTACTTCTGGGTGAATAATGGGCTATGTTAGATCGGCTGGTCGAGAGCTGTGACTTGGTCGATATCGTGGATCAGTCACAGGTTTGAACTGCACTCGTTGTAAACGTACAATGTGTAGAAATGTGTTCAGAAAAATAGAATGTCGTTGGTCATCATTTACAAAGACCAAAGCACACAGATCATTGTCATCATTAAGGTCAGTGACTATTAGTATCTGCGTGTGTATTGTATTCTCTGAAGTTGAAGATTTATTGCGAAAAAGCAATATCCCAGCTATGGTTGGACAGCTTGGAAAACCAGGCCAATTCAGTGACTGAAATCATGAGCAACGATTTTGGCCAAGTCACAGCTTCCTAAACAGCCGATCATGCGTCCAGAAATGAAATATATTTTCCAGATAAACACCGTTGTTGAAATATTGTTATGAAATGTAGCACAAAGGAGCTCAGAGACTCACTTCTTTGCATGGGTTGCATTGGATGTATTTGTTTCAGGGCATGTATGACAGACTAGAGATCTATATGCAATACACAGTTTATGAGAAATATGTTTCGAAATTCGAAATTTTTTGACATGAATATGAATCATCGATTTAAATCGATCAATATGTAATTATTTGTAATGATAACATATTTCTAAGAAAAATATAAATATTGGTATACACGTTCAATACACCTGGTATCAGCATTATTTGATACTGATTCATAATGCTTATGCCATAGTCGGAATCGTACGATAGCCATAACTTTAAGCAGAAATTTCTTATGATTATGGAATGTGTTTTTGTAGCTCTTTTTAGGCGTCAGTTTCGTCAGCAATCACTCATTTCATTCTCCAAATAAATCCAACAACCACTATTCACTTCTTCGTTCAGAATCGCGATTCTCCACTAAAATATAACATGTCTTCCAGCTGATATTATTTGATCTTTGCACAATGTTTCTTCTCTACAGGCAATATATCACCTTAGCAGCTTGTCAAGCCACATGCCGATCGTACTCTCAATCACTTCGAACTGTAACAAATCAAGTGTGATTTTAACAGATCCACATTTATTGACGGCTACAATGAGATAAAGCTGCGTAACAGTCAAATTTCATATAATAAGTAATTTATAACTGCTCAGGCCAAAGCTACTTCAAATTTGAACTTTACAACTACATATGTTTATGTATTTTTGTTTTAATGTTTTCTCGACGTTACATGCCTGAGATTTGCCTGTGTCTTTCTTGTCGTCGTCGAGTGAGTGAGTGAGTGAGTGAGTATGGTTTACGCCGCTTTTAGCAATAATCCAGCAATATCACTGCACTCCGGCAATATAATATAACACCCCAAATATATATTGTCAATGCAAGAGAATAACTAGTCTAGATTGTCAGCCGAAATAGATTGCATTTGGCGTAAAAGGCAAAATAGCTGTGAAAAAAATATGAATGGACCACCGATAATCAGTGATGACATGATACCAATGGTTCGCGAAAAGGGTACACGTAAGCATGATCTGCCCTCCCGGTAGCATTAGGGAAATACGTTCATTTTACAGTTATATTTATTTTACATGCAATCCTCTAACACTTGTCTATTAAAGGAACGCAATACAGAAAATCCAGTGATTGACATCACGAGCATCGATCCATGTAATTGGGACACTCTGACATGCATAAACCAAGTCAGCGAGCATGACCATCCGATCCCGACAAGCATAGTCGCCTTTTAGGCAAGCATGGGTTGATGAAGACCTATTCCACCTCGGACCTTCACTTGTCTCAGTGAACGTGTGGCAGCTGTCGTCTTTTGACGTCTTGGAGGAAAAATGGTTTTCATCATTTACAGCAAACTTGATTTGATATTGAAGGATGACGTTATGTTTTTGTAAGGTCGACAATGAGACAATACCCCAAGGCACCTTCTAGGATTTTATAATGCAGTTTATGATGTAGGATACAGAAAGAAGCATGCAATGTTGCCATTTTAAGTAACTTATCATGTGTATATTAACATCGAGAGAGAGAGAGAGAGAGAGAGAGAGAGAGAGAGAGAGAGAGAGAGAGAGAGAGAGAGAGAGAGAGAGAGAGAGAGATTCTTTATTTCCTCCAGAAGTTAATCCGAAGATTATACATAATTAATCAAACGTATTCACACAAAAAAGTTGAAACAGTTAATTTCTTTCCTGCAGTAGAGCCTCACAATGTAATATGATGTGATAATCATAATCAAAGGCATGCTTGTTACACAATAAACAGTCCCTGGAAGTTTTGTTTCGTGATGAAACTCTAACACAAAATTTTAAACTTGACCTCTGATCTGGGTACAGATATGCTAGTTGCCATAATATATGGTGAGTGAGCTTAGTGTGTATTAGCATGAAGCGTGAAAGACCTGTATTGATAGAAACTTTTCTGCGCCACATATTTTCTTCATATTCATGAATGGTTTGATTAACCAGTTGCTTCCAGTTTCTCTTTGTAGGAAATACACCACAGCTTACATATGTACAAAGGTTGTTTCGTAGGTTATACTTGTTAAGAACTGATAATAAATGTACACATACAGATTTAGGATTAGTTGGATTTGCACTGTATGCACAAAAAAGATGTTTAACAAAAAATTGTTACAGGGTAAGTTACATAAGCGGCCAAGCAGCTGAAGTTTACACTTGCCGATCATTGTCCAAAGCCAAAGATTAGCAATAGTGGATCCTGATGGAGATCTTTTATCAAGTCCTTGTACAGTTCGTGCGAAATAGCATTGAGTATTTTCAATGACAATATTGTTTTGACCCTTAATATCAAAGAGCAGTTCGCAGCCGTAAAATCTTGTTTTTAATATCATTCTTAAACAGATATTTACACTGGTAGCTGGATGTAGCTCAGATCTGTTGAGTCCCACAGATTTTAACGAATTAATACTTTGTCTTGCTTTTTGGCAACATTTTTCAATACTTGATTTACATGACAGGTTATGTGTTAGCAGTATGCCACCATACATGACAGAGTCAGAGGTTGTTATATTTATATCATCAAGTTTGCAGTTAATATCTAACCCCTTTTGTTTTGTCTTAGAGAAGACAACAACATTACTTTTTGAAGGGTGATACGTTCGTCGCCACTTTGAGGCATATGAATGTACTGTATCAAGTGCTTTTTGTAGCCTCGTGGTGAGGTGCTAACAAGAGTTGTGTCGTTTGCAAACAAAACAGTTTGAATATCTAGACCAAATACACAAATACCACTATTTGCTTGTCTAAGGGCTGTTATAAGGTCATTAATAAAGACTAAGAAGAACCAAGCAGAGAGAACTCTTCCTTGTCCGACACCTTGTCTTAAATGGTATATATCTGACTGTTCACCCTGATAAGTAACAAAAGCATGGCTATGTGTATAGCTATGGTGTAATAACTTCCATGTATTTCCTCTGATACCCATTTGGTGTAATTTATAAAAAATAAAGGCCGTTCTGCCATATTCTGCCGAAAGCCTTTTCGTTGTCTAAGAAAGCAGCATATACAGTAAAATCTCGCTTTATGTAAAATTGAATACTTTCAATAAGGGTAAAAACGGACATTATTGCCCAATGTTCTTTCCTAAAGCCGAACTGGAGCATGTCAGGGAAATCAAGATTAGTCTTTGTTAGTTTTAGTTCAAGGTGCTTAGCAATAAGCTTTTCAAACAGCTTTCCAATGCATGAAGTTAAGGTTATACCTCTATAGTTTCGGAGATCCGATTTGTCATTCTAACACTTGTATATAGGAATGACCATTCCTAGTCTATAATTAAAAGGAATGTATTGTAGTCTTAACATAGCATTAAACAGGGCACATATATATCTTATCAAGGATTCACTCCCGTGAATTATATGCTCGTTTGTAACTTTATCAGGCCCAGGGGACTTGTTTCTACTCAGTGTTTTTACAGTTTCGTTTATTTCTACAGTAGAAAATTGTCTTTCTAGTTCCTCATTATGTGCCCCTTTCTCTTTGTGAATATGTTCCTAGGAAAGAAGATATTTCTTTTCGAAAATTCTCATCAAAAGTGTCTGAGCAATATGGCTGAGCTAGATCAGAGTAATATTTTCCCCACAATTTACAAATGTCCGAGGGTGTTGTGACACTCTCTCTCCCTCATAGTTGAGTTTTGTCATATCTGTAGTTTGTGACCACGCTTTCTTACAGTTTTGTAAAAGGAATGTATATCAAGTTCAGATGATTTTTCTATTTCTGTAAGGACTTTCTTCCTTTTACCTTTTTTGGATTTGCGATAAAGGCGTCTAAAACACCTTTTTCATTTTTGTAAGATATACGTTCGTTTGAATCTTTATCTCTCGATGTACCATTTTGAATCCAAGCTCTTCGAGCCACCCTCATACGATAGTGTGTGTTATCAAGACCATCTTGTCTCCAAAATGGTTTAAGAAAGAGCTTAAACACACTTTGTGGGATACTTTTGTTACCTGCATGTATAAGAATTTCATTTATGATGTCACATTGGTTTTCTAGAATTTTATAATGTAGTTTATAATGTAGGATACAGAAAGAAGCATGCAATGTTGCCTTTTTGAGTAACTTTATCATGTGTATATTAACATCTATGCTTGTTTGTTTTTGTTTTCTGTGAAGCATATTTCAGGACAATCTGCCTGTAGTATACATTACGAGATAGTGACTTGATCGCGTTTTCTGATTTTGGAGAATGACAAGAGACTACTTTACCATCAACTGACCTTGGAAAACTGACGGAGCTGTGCACCTTTGTGCAAAACACTTTCATTCCGTGAAACGAGAATTGTTGTGTATACAGAAACAGATTGTTATTTAGGTCACTTCTATGTTACAAGGTAACCTCATTGTAATTAAGTAAGGATAAGATATATAGGATGAACAACTTCTTTATAACAATAAAGAGTGACGTTTTGGTATAAGTTCTAATACCGTTATGAAGCGAGTGATGCACAGAGTATGGTTGACAAGTACATATACATGTAGGAGGCAGAGTAGATTTATGATGTAATTACACTGGAGTGGAGAACCCTGTTATGTACACAATTTAGGAAACCATATTTACGTTTTTAGCCTTTAATAATCAATCAAACTTAATACAAACACTTATTTATTCGTATTACATGTAGTTCATTTACTTTATCATCTCTATCATAGATGCTCATATCTTCTTCATACTTCTTGTAGATTGTTTCATCTGGCCGAGCTGCAAGACATACTGTTTCTCTTTTTTCAATACATTCATTAATGAAGATCTTGTAGACAGCAGATGAAACTTTGCTTTCAATTGCTGTTGCCAGGAAAGCACGGATCTTAAGCTCCAAAGGCTTGCCATCCTGCGGCTGCCACGTTGTAACGTGTGCTTCTGTCTTCATAATATGACTTCACTGGCTACCAGAAACACAATGCAAATCGCCAGGATACCTGCAATAACCTGTGCGACAATTGGAGCCTGCTTTATCGATGACACGATTTTTGATAAATTTTCCTCTACTATTTCCGACAGATATTCGTGTGTCATGATCCCCAAAACAGCAACGACCATCACTTTAATAACTGCAAATAATATATATAAGCATTCATTTGCACTTGAAGTTTTGTAGCACAAGATGGCTGCTCTGTGGCTTCTGATTTCAATTTCTCTTAAAAGCCGAATGCTTTCTCTGATAGCTGTTGCTTCATCTTTACATTGATCTAAATATGGTTTACTTGGTCTGAAACAAAATTTATTAATATCAATATAATAAAACTATGTGTACTTTTCCTGTACAATATAGATGTCTATGTATGCCAAGTAAAGACATTGTCCACATTTCCCCGGAGTGGAAGAGCATTATTGCCCTGTATGATTGTAGCATTTCTTGTCATACATTGTCCTTACCTTAGCATTTTTTTATAGCTTCATCTGATGGGGAAGATTGACCATGATTACTTTTACCGGGTCTGAAAGAGAAGACCAATAACCCAAAATGTTGTTATCTGGATTAGTGTCATAAACTTATTACAGAGTAAAGTGCAATTTGTACTTGAAGTTTTGTAGCACATGATTGCTGCTCTGCGGCTTCTGACTTTCAATATTTCTTAAAATCATAATGCTTCTTTTCTAATAGCTGCTGCTTCATCTTTACTTTGATCAAAAAAGGCATTACCAGATCTGAAAAGAATTCAAAGGCAGCAGAATATTGTTATCTGTATCAGTATAAAAAACCTATTACAAGAGTTATGAGTAATTTTAATGTTCAATATATATGCCTGTGTATAAACCATAAGTCATAACCCACATTTTCACGGTGTGGACGAGCATTGTTGTCCTGTATGAATAGAGAGTTTCCAGTAACGCATTGTCCTCACCTAATCGTTTCGCTCATAGCTGTTGCTTCATCTTTGCATTGACTGTGACCGGTATTACCGGATCTGAAGGGAAACCAAATGTATCAAATTATTCTTATCTGTATCAGTATAGAAAAAAACTATATGAGAAAAGATTATTTTTATGTTGAATTTATATGCCCGTGTACAGCACGTTAATGAATTGGGTAGATTTCAAAGGTGTGTTATATCCTGTAAGATCGTAGCGTTTATATGATGTATAGTCCTCATCCACAGGACCACACTGTGGGCCAACTTATTCTTATTCTCAACAACGTGTACCGGTGTCCTTGCAGAACCTATAATGTCACCCAGAGCATTAAAGAATTGACACCAAATCAAGTATGCGCCACTAGAACATCCTTATCAAACCGTTCATGGCAGCTTGGTAACAGCGGCCATTATGTTTGAAACGATTGACACTGGTCTAATATAGAAACAGGACTGACTGCCACTACCGTTGATTCCAAAACTGATGACGCAGGAATCAAAGCAAACGAGCTTGCCTATAACGTTGTGTCAGTGGTGAGCGAACTGTCTGACATTGCGAATGGAGACGGTCATACATATGGTGGTCATGCTAATGTGACCGTATGGGGCATTATTTAAAGTTCTTGTCATTTGATCTGATGTCAGAAATCTGTTATGCAGGACAAGGTTAACAGGTTATCAGTATTTATTATATTATTTATAACAATCATTTATTACATAACATCGTATTTCTTACCGTTTTCTTGGCATGTTGCCTATCTCCTTTGTATGACTTCACTATCAAGGTGAAAGTTCTGCAAGCATACAAAAACATTAAAATGTTCATATCAAAGAAAATGTATGAATGTCATGTGTGAACCTACTGGCAAGAGGCAGACAAAGGGGAAACTGAAAACGTTACGTCTCGATTATCTGCCGAAACAGATTCCAAAGGTAAAATAGAAAATCATATTTAAAATTTATATGAATGGATCCCTAACAATCAATTTGTTTTACATGTAAATATTTGGTTTTCAGGCCAAAGAATTCAATCTGGAACTATTGCTGCAGTAGCTGCTGGAGACAACCACACAGGACCATGACCGCAAACGTGGGTCCACAAATCACTGGAGCTTCTAGGTAATCTGCCACTGTTACATTTCATGCGTTCAGCATGCAAATAGTGTGATAAATCTTACTTCAGTTCACACGGGAACATAGTATCATTAATTGTATCAACACCTAAGATGCATGTACCATTACACATGTATAAACGTTTAATACAAAACAGTAAACTATTGCATGATAAAACTGAAATCGGTTCAACAGATCAATAAAGGCCACATCTAAACATGCTCAAAACCTGCTCCGACAGAGGACACTGTTGTCATATTTGAAAAAAAGAGAATTATTGGAAGAATGCTTCTAGATCTTTGTCAGGAAGATCTGAACCAGTATGATTTGACGGATGAGGATGAGAAGTATAGAATCATGGGCATCATCAAAGACTTCAAAAAAGGAACACTAAAATTGAATGGATCTAGTCAGGAACAGGTTCAAAGCAAGCATCAGGTGCTCCTTATGCTGAATAAAGTATGCATTTATTTTTGCTTCTCTTGCTCCGCTAATTATTATGTGCCTATCATTTCTGAGATGCATTATGTTAATACACTTTTGCAAAGCCCGTTGAAGAAATAGAGACATACACTCTTCAAACAATGAAACGCACAGGTAGATTTTAGTAAATGTATTGTACCTAATAAAGTCGATAAATTTAATTTAATATCATTGATACAAATAGGACGTTTTGGAGCTCGATAGTCACATGTTGTCGTTGAACAAAGGCATTGAAAACTGTTCATTGTCTTGTCACATAAGGCCACAAGGTTGCGCCCCAGACAGCTATCACGTCTTGGCATCTCCTCAGCACTCACTGGATAAGTGTACAAATTCTGTCCAGCGGAATTCTGCGCCATTCTGCTTGTAATGCTTTGGTCAGTTGTAGGAGTGTCTGTGGCGTGTTTTTACGTTGACGTACACGTCGATCGAACTCATCCCAGAGGTGTTCAATTGGTTTGAGATCTGGAGATCTCGACGGTCAGGGCAAGTCGTTGCTGTGTGCATTATGAAGGTAGTCTATCGTGACACGAGCTGTGTGAAGTGGAGCGTTGTCCTGTTGAAACAGCTGCCTCTGGCGGTCAATGATTGGAAGAAGGCGAGGTTGAAGGATTTGATTCATGTATTGATTTACTGTCAAATTTCCCTGAACCACAAACCAAGTAAGGGCTCATGGTTTAGGATATGACCGCCCACATCATGACACTACCGCCACCGAAATTGTCGAATTCACGTCCACAATGTGGGGCAAAACGCTCATTTCGACGATGATAAACACGTTGTCTTCCATCTCAATGGTGAAGAGGAAATCGTGATTCATCGCTAAACCACACTCGTTTTAAGCTTCACAAATTCAAAGACTGTAAGGTATGGCACCAACGCAAGCGTCGCTGTCGATGGATGTGCTACAAAACAGGGACGATAACTGGTCTTCTGGGTTGGATTCCAGTCTCGCGAAGATGGTTCCTGACAGTCTGGTCCAATATCCTCCTCAAACCAGGTATGCGTCGAGCAGTTACAGTAGCTGTGGCATTGCGGTGACTTAGGTGGAACAGTCGAATGTAGCGATCATGTGCAGGGGTGGTAACTCTTCGCCTCGGACATTTCTCGGACGGCCTGCAGTGGAATTAAACTGTGTGTATCGATCCCAAGGCGGCAAATGGTGCTGTGGTGGCCGTTGAAGTGCAACCGAAGACTGCGGTTCCCCTCTTTAGCGACTCTCCGATCAGCAGCGCTGAGTCGCGGCATTTTCGATCTTGAAAAATGTTGACAATTGAATGACTAATTATTGGCTTATGCGTGCCTTTTTATAGCCACTACCACGACTTACTAATGCCATAACTTGCACGTGCATTTTGCTTTACTATTTTCCGCCATGCCATTTTGGAACAAGTGTGAAGACAATGCCATTTAAGACATTGTAAATCCACAATGGCTGCGTTTTGACGCACCGTTTGTCGAACATCAGGCCACCAAAGTTTTTAAATAACATGTATCCAATTCATATACCGGATTTTTTGTGTAGTCAGGTTCAATGAACTACATACTACCTGTGCGTCTCGAATTTGAAGAGGGTATACCCTACATTGTACATGAAATAAGCTAGGTCTTCATTGACTTGCTATCACTTATAGCAATGGTTATAGCAGTGTCCATCCTCTATCCGGTTTCCCATTTCCGGAGCAGAACACCAAGACGTCATTCAAAGAAAATGCTTTTAGTCACTAATTACAAGTCTAGATGTGTACAACGTTCTTAGCTCTTACAATAACTATATTGTAATCGGTCACCTTTTGTAAGGTGTAACACTATTTGGCAAATATGGGAGAGCAACCATGGAGCTTGGCAACAGTTATCAATTGTGTCCAGCTCATTTCTACATGTATTTCTATTTGAGGGCAATTGACAACCTGCCTGCACTTTTAACAGCAAAAAACCCTTTTATATTGTCGGTACAGGTACCCGACTACACCTTTCAACTAGTAAATGAAAATGCAACGCGACGCGATTTTTCAAAATATTGAAAACATGGAAACAAAGTGAAGGTTTGAGGAAAGTTGCAAAGTATTTTTTTATATAAACTTGGATTGATCATTGTCTACACAAATGAATGAAAACAGTTCTAAATATTGGAAAAGGATTCTTAAGTCAGCCGCTTTTGCTCACTGATAAACACAGTTCCCGAATTTTTAGATCATTTTCAGATTCTGAAGCTGGAACGTCCAGCGATAGGCCCAATGGCCACTCCATGTCACTGTCAGGCATGCCTAACATGATCTGAGGATCTGAGGTTTAGAAGACCAGAATGGGCGTTACAACTGCTCACAGATGAGTCCAGGGGAAACTTGACAGCTCTGATGGTCGTGCAAATGCAGAGACGTAAGTTCACTTTGCACGAGGCTGATGCCCGCCCACACGTTGCACGAGTTGCAACAGATTGTTTGTGGCAGGATAACATTGTGGTACTACCATGGCTGGCTGTTTCTCCGGACCTCTTCCCCATTTAATATGTCTGGGATTAGATGGAGAGACGTCTACGATATTGACTTTGTTAATTGAGTTGTTACACCATCCCTCTTTCAGGGCGTGTCCCTCTGTCTCCTGCTACCAGGTACGGGTGTTGTCAATAAACTTGTCATGATAAAACCTTGACCAGACAAAACACCCAGTATTATGTTGTTCATTTCAACAACATAACATTTCACCACTTTATATGAAGCACAGAATCCGTGTCCGTTAATATACATTCGGTAAAGGAATGGAATTCACAAAATGGAAATGGTACAATCGCTGAATTAAAAACAAGAATTCATCCGCTTGTTATCAGAGCTACGTAGATGTACATGTAGCAATCTGAATGATGAGGTGTTCAGGGTTAATTTGCCTCACATTATTTTTTGCTTTTGCTGTTCACCTTTGGAAAACATTTCCCGAATGTAACAAATAAACATTAATTAGACAACCTTTGTCTATTAGCATTATTAATATGGGGTCTAAGCCTAATACGGCAAAATTCTAAATGGTAACGAAATTCAATCTGAAGAACAAAATATTTAATATTTTAACGATGTCAATCAATATATTAATTAATTAAGAAGAAGTATTGATCACTACTTCTCTATTGTATCACGTCTTCCATGTTGCTTGCATATGTAATATATTGCTATAGTACAATAGCCGCAGTCATATTTTGTATTATATATTTTATTGTTGTAAATAATATATCATGTAAATATCACGGTTAAGTAATTATTCTCTAGCTTCCGCGTGTTACTTAAATTCTAAATGTCCAACATTGTCATCGTTTTACTACCTACTGCGATATTAACGCTACGTATTTGTTATATAAATGTACACTTATACACAGGCATACATACATACATACATTCATTACTCGACCGTGAAGAGATCACCCGTTTAATAAACATTTAGTTGTATTACACATTGTGTAATACCAGTGTTTTACTGCGGGAACAAGTTTCACTTAAAAAAACATTGAACACTCCCAATATCCCTGGGCTTATTCAATGACATTGCGTGGAGAGATTTTAGATCACAGAGACGAGCCTATGCATGCTCGATGACCCCAGCAACCCTGTTGCAAGGCTGACGTCACATGGCTTGCAACAGAATTCCACAAACTACGTCATAGGGTATTGAGACGTGATTGTTAACATTGTGGCGCAGGACCAGGCGATCGGTAGCGCATAGGCAGTCGAGAGTCTATGGGTATTTCGATAACCTTAGCGCTAGTCAAGTAAATGACTGCGGATTGCGTAGATGTCTGCCTATTCACACACTTATGTGAAATTTGGAAAAGTTATCAACGGCAGAAATAAATAAAATACTAAACTGGCTTCCGTGTAATACCAATTTATGAAACGAAATTTTATGACGAGCGAAAGAACTCTACATGAGTTTCATTAAATTCATAAAATTACAAGTGTATTTTCAGTATTCTATATACGCACGCACGCACGCACGCACGCACGCAAGCACGCACGCACGCACGCACGCACGCATGCACGCACGCACGCACGCACGCACGCTGGCACATACATACATACATTACATTACATTTCCAGTAAAATATGTTTAAATCAAACCTGTTAACGCCCATATCGGCCGAATCACTTTGAACGCAGTGTAGATTAAAGCAGGGCCTGATCCACTACATGTACTGCACATACCCAGAAGT